TGTGAAAAAATAATGAGCAATCTGTTAACTGAGGGGAACATAATCAGTAACTGAGGAGCTGCTGAATATGGAAAGGTTAATAATGGGCTACATAGAGGAATATGCCACAAACTCCTCAGTTTGAGGACTGGATCTGCAGGATGGCTCCTGTCATGTCATGTCATGATTGCTCAGATCCCTTGTAAGCTCTGAGTTCTGGCTTTGGTGCAAGAGTTCTCAACCTCTGTGAACTTGTTTTGTTTTTTGATTATTTTGGTAACTGGTTTTCAATATCATTCGTTTCCTTTGTAGTCCCATGTATTTATTTTATGCACTTAAAAACATCATACTGAGAAGGGGTCCAGAGGCTTCACCAGACTGTGTAAGGGGTCCAGGAAACACACACACACACACACACACACACACATGCACACACACATGTTAAGAACTCCTGGTGTAGTGCAGCAATGGACCTCATTCTCTCTCACATCCGGCAGGGGAGCGTGGGGCAGGACACAGCCTTGCCTTCTCAGGATTACCAGAATGGCTTCCCCAGAGGTAGAGAGGTCAGGACCTCACATAATAACAAACCAGGGCAACTGAATGAAAAATGCAGACTGACAGAGCCAAGGCCCTGCAGTCTTCTGGGGGCCTTACTTTGCATAATAATCATCATTACTATAATTATGATTCTAATATAGCATTTTAAGGTAGCCAAAGGGCTTTAAATATATTGTCTCATTTGAGTGGTTAACAGCATGCTGAACCTAGGGCTGGGAAGACCTGGTTTGAAATCCCACCTCTGACACTTACTGGCTGAAGGACAGTGAGCAAGTTGTGAGCTCTAAGATTCAGTTTTCTCATATATAAAATGGAAATAATGATACCAGTAATATCTACCTTACAAGGTTGTTGTACTGCTCAAATGAGATCATTTATGTAAAATGCTTTGCAAAAATTAAAGTGTCTTATGTCAGTTATATTATTACTACTATTATCATTATTATTATTAATCTCTCTCCTCTGTCTCTGTCTTTCTGTTTCTCTCTCTCACACACACACACACACACACACACACACACACACACACACACATATCACATTATGAACTACTGTTGGCTTAGTCTGATAATAATATACCACCATTCAAAGCTGCCCAAAACATCTGCTCTTTCTCTAAATGAGGTAAGGGTGGGGCTTCTGATGTTCATCCGTGATGTGGAGCCTCAGCTATATTCCTACACACTGCACCTGATGCCAATATCTGGTCCCTAACTTCCTCTTCAATGTTTTCTCATAGAATCTCAGAGTTGGGGAGAGACTGCAGAGGTGTTCCTGTTCAGCCTGTATCTGAACATGAATTCTGACCACCAGGGGTGGGGAACCTGCGGCCTTCTGCCCACATGTAGCCTTCTAGATCCTTAATTTGGATTAATAAAAAAAAAAAAAAGGCCGCACTTAAGGATCTAGAAGGCTACATGTGGCCAGAAGGCTGTAGGTTCCCCACCCCTGGCCTAGACCCTGCCTAATGTCAAGCTGCTCATCCAATCTCCACATGAAGAATTCCAGTATTATTCGGGTACTCAAATGAGTGCATTCTTCTTCTGAATATCTCTAATTATGAGGGAGTTTTCCTTAACATCAAGTCCAAGTTTTCTTTTCTTGAACTTCCACTTGGTTCTGCCCTCTGAAGCCTAGTTAAATAACAATAATGGGGGGCAGCTAGTTGGCGCAGTGGATAGAGCACCGGCCCTGAAGTCAGGAGGACCTGAGTTCAAATCTAGCCTCAGACCAACAAGTGTCAACAAGCACTTGACACTTACTAGCTGTGTGACCCTGGGCAAGTCACTTAACCCCAATTGCCTTAAATAAATAAATAACAATAACAGTAATTAACATTCCAATAGTACTTTAAAGTTTTCAGAGTACTTTCCTCAGAACAACCTTTTGAGATAGATTACAGTGGAGAGAGTGCTGGCCTAGAGTCAGGTAGACTCATCTTCCTGAGTTCAAATCTGGCCTCAAACATTTACTAACTGTGTGACCCTAGGCAAATCACTTACCCCTGTTTGCCTCAGTTTCCTCATCTGTAAGATGAGCTAGAGAAAGCAATGGCAAGCCACCTAGTATCTTGGCCAAGAAAATCCCAAATGGGGTCACAAAGAGTCAGACCCACTGAAAAACAACTAAACAACAACAATAAAAACACAAATATTATATTGCCCATTTAATAGGTGAGGAAATTGAGATGCTAAGTTAAGAGACTTGCTAGCGAGCACACAGTTACTAAGTCCAGTACTCCATCCACTATGCAACATTGTTTCTTAAGTCTAATCTTTCTTTTACATGTCACTACATCAGATACCTAAAGACCTCTCTCTTCTCCACTTTCTCCTCCCCTGCCCAAGTCTTTCCTTCTTCAGGCTAAACATTCCCAGATCCTTTTCCTAAATCCTTACACATCATTGCCTCCATATACCTCACTATCCTGGTCATTTTCCTCTTAATAGGCTTTATTAGTTTGTCAATGTCCTTTCTAAAATGTGAATTGAACAAAAATAATATCTTAAATTCAAAATAATGAGCAATTCGTGAACTGAGAACATAATAACTAAGTAATATCAAGGAAAATTATGAAAAGAAAAAGGGATAAAGGAGCAATAGAACTTTCAGACCTCAAACTATATTATAAAGCAGCAGTCATCAAAATCATCTGAGACTAGTTAAAGAATTGAGAGATAGGTCAATGGAGGATTAGGAAACAATAGAATTCAATGACCCAGTGTTGGACAAAGTGGACAACATAGGAAAAACAACCTAGGAAAAAGCTCCTTATTTGGAAAAAACTGCTGGGAAAGCAATCAGACAGAAATTAGGCTTAGACCAGCACTTTATACCATATTCCATAATACATTCTAACCAGATACACATCCTTAATATTAAAAGATCATTAAAAAATCAGAAGAGAAATAGATCATATAGCTTTCATAGCTATGGTTAGGAGATGTGTGCATAATCAAACCAGAGATAAAAGCAATTACCAAAGATAAAATAGATAACTTTGATTACTTGAAATTGAAAAGCTTCTGCCCAGACAAAATTAATGCACCTAGAATAAGAAGGCAAGTAGTTGAATGGGAAAAAATTTTCATATCAAACTTCTCTGATAAGGGTTTAGTGTTGAGATATACAAACTATATATAATGTGTGTGTATACACACATCTGTATGCATATATACACTCATTATATATATATATATGACCAATACCCATTCCCCAATAGATAAACAATCAAAAGATATGAACAACTAGTTCCAAAAGATTTGCAAACTATTCACAACCACATGAAAGAATGATCCAAATCACTAATAATAACAGAAATGCAAATCAAAACAACCCTGAAATTTCATTTCATACCCTGAAAATCGGCAAATATGACCTCAAAATGGCAACATTCAATGTTGGAGGGGTTGTGGAAGGATAAGCTCACTAACACATTGTTGGTGGAGCTGTGAAATGGTACAATCATTTTAGAAAGCACCTTTGAAATATGCAAATAAACTGACCAAAATGTCTATATCCTTTGAACCAAAAACTCCATTACTGGGCTTATACTCCAAGGAAGCCATCAATAAAAAGAAAGTCCCCACATACTACAAAATATTTATAATAGCACTTTTTTGTGATAACTAAAAATTAGAAACAAAATAGACACCCATCAATTGGGGAATGGCAAAACAAATTATGGTACACAGATATCATAGAATATTACTGTGCTGTAAGAAATGATGTGTGTGATGAATACAGAGAAGCCCAGAAAGATCTATATGAAGAGATGCAAAGTGAAGTAAGCAGAGCCAAGAAAACAATATACACAGAAACTACAACAATATAAATGGAAAGAATGATACACCAAAAAATCATAAGTAAATGTAACAAAAGTTACAAGATCAAGCAAGACTTGGATGAAGAGATATGGGAAGACATCTCCAACCTACCCCTTGGTGGAGTAGGGGTTCACACTGTGCATGTTTTCAGACTTTCTCAATACATTGATCTGTTGTACTGACGTTTTTCCTCTCTGAAAAATACTATTTGTCTTATGGGATGGCTCTCTGGGAGGCAGAGGGAGAGGGATAAATGGGATGACGATAAAGATGCAAGAAACAGAAAATATCAATAAAAACTTATTTAAATTAATAACTAAGGAGTTGTTGAGGCTGGAGAGGTTCATAATAGGCAACATCCTAGAGGAATATTAACAAGTGTTCTCAATTTGCTATTCAGCCCTGAGATGCGATTCAAGGTTCCTATTTTTTGCCATGCTTCAGAATTTCTCCATCTATTCCCCTATATGAACTTTCTGCTCCTGCTGGCCAAATGTCACTGTTCGTGTACACTATGTTCATGCCTCTCCCCAAGTCTTTGCTCATGATGGTCCTTTGGTACCAGTGGAAAGGATCACTGACTGGCTCTGGAGACAGAATATCCAGGCAGTGAGTTAGTAAACCTCTGACCTTTAGCAGAATTAACTTTCCTAGGTCTCAGTTTCCTTATCTGCAAAATGAGGAGGTTGGACCAGGTGGTCTTGGAGGTTCATTCTAGCTCTAAATCTATGATCCTACGAGCTTTCCTCCTCTATTGCCTAAAAAAATCCTCTTAATCTTTCAAGATTCAGTAAAATCTCCCCCAATTCCTCTAGACACATCTATCTTTCCTTTCTCTGAATTCCTGTGACATTCTCATCAGTACCATTCATTTTGACATTTACAAGTATATTTTCCTATATGATTTCTCCCATATAGCTATATCTATAGCTCTCTTTATCTATCTATCTTGCTTCCATAATTATAAAGATATCACAAACTTTTTGAGGGCTGGGCCTGTGTCTTCTTTCTCTTACTTTACAATGTCTAGCATAGGCCAATTACCCAAAAGGTACCCATTTCATATTTGTTGATTTGAAATGTGAGTATTCCTAAAAACAAAAGCTATAAGCAGTCTTCCAATGAGTACCATACCTTGGGCAATGTCATCATACGTGTTCTGATTGACCATCCGCTCCACTATTTTGGCTGCTTGGGTCACCTTGGTTATGTCATCACTCTGTAGAAAAGAAAAACAAGCAGCAGATGGCATTGTTAAGGGGCTGCCTATTATGCATAATGATCTCTAAACATTTTTCCTCTTGGAACATGAAATTGGGATTAAGCTCAACTAGTACCATTCAGATCAGCAGCATTAGGCTGGAGCTGATAGAGTCTCATCATTGCTTACCTTCCTAATTCTGTTGTGTGTAGGCTCTGGAGCAGCTACGGCCACAACTTAGACCAAGAAATACTCAGAAATGGATCCACATACCATGCAGGCTATGGAGAAGGGGAGGACGCTCAAGACCAATACTGAAGCATTGTAACTGTGTGCATTTTCCAGCAGCATAATCTCAACCAATCTCTTCCCCGCACTCACTCTCACTAAATGCCCTGTCTTTCCAACTTGTCCACTAACTCATCAAATGCTCTCTTGCTACCAACTGCAATCCAGTTGCCACATATACCAGCTCCCTTTCTACTCTCTGGCACCTCTGAATATTCTTGCTAAAGTTCATGCACACTTTCATCTTGGCAGCAGCAGGAACACCCAAGGACGATCAATCGATAAGTCATCATCTTTTACATGCCTACTACATACCAGGTACTCTGCTTGGCGGGAGGGATACAAGTACAAAAAAAGTGAAACAATCCCTCCTTGCAATGAGCTTATGTTCTAATGGGGAGATAATGAGTACATCTACACATATACACAGTATAAATATAAAGTTAACGCGTAAACAAATACACAAAGTTGTTAAATACAAAGTTGTTTGGGAGAACACAGGCAACTAACAGTTGGGGGCATCAGAAAGACTTCATGCAGAAGACAGTGTCTGAGCTAGATCTTAAAGGAAGATGGACTATGAAGCAGATGTAAGGAAGGACTGCATTTCCGGCATGGGAAGCAGTCAATGCAAAGGCAAGAGATGGGAGATTTTATCTTATCATAGGAGGAACAAAGAGAAGGACAATTTGGCTGGATCACAGAGTGGAGGGGGGGAAGGAACGTCCAGTGAGGTTGGAGAGAGCAGGTGGAGCCAGGTTGTGTTAGCCTTTACAAGCTAAACAGAGGAGTTCATAGTTTATTCTGAAGGCAATAGAGGAAGCCACTGGATTTGGTTGAGTAGGGTAGTGACGTGGTCAGATCAGTCACTCCTCTGGTACATAAGGCATTGTTTAAGCTTCTTTCTTTACCCCAGATCCACAGCACCCCATAACTGTCTTTACTGAACGAAAGCCACCTTGTCAGATGCTCAGAGACATTTAGTCATCTGCTCAGCTTTTATAGCCTTACATCTTTAGCTTATACTCCAAAACTAAGAATTATATAAGCAAGGATACAACAGGATTTGATGCAGCAGAGAGACACACGTGGGAGAAAATGGAAGTGGTCAGACAGCCTGTTACAGAGATGGCAGGTTTTTGATAACCTTCAGCACTGACACCACTTATTCTGAGGGGTGCTAAGACAGCTCCAAAAAGAAACCTTTCCATCCTCTCATGGATAGCTTTAATCCCACTCTCTCCATGAAACTTTTTATATCTACTCTCAGTCTCCTCCTTCCTTGTATCCTTACAGCATTATAATTGAGCATGTGATTATATCTTGTCTTGTAATGTTCTCCAGTTTCCTCTTTGTATATATTCTTTCTCCCCAATTAGCATATAAGCCCCCTCAAAGACAGGAAATGTGCCTTCTTCTCTGGTTCTCCTGTAACAACCATTCACAGGGTTGGGTAACACACACACATTAGGTACTCAAGAAACACTGGTCAACAAAGGAAGCCATGGATAATAGGAGAGTAAATATAGAAGTCAAGGTTGGAAGTCAGATGCAGAGCAGTCTGTTCCAATGGAAATTGGGAGGTTTTGTCAGGCTCAAAGGAAGGTTTAATTAGCTAGAAAAAAAAAAGAAGGAAGGAAGGGCATCTAGGAAATGAGCTACTCTGCAAAGTCTGATGAAGTGGGTTTTTTGAGCAGTCATACGTAAACAGTTCCTCCAGGAATGTCCTTTTCCAGTGTTTCACTGTGGCATGGAGAACCCTGGGGTTCTGAAGCTGAAGATCTACTAGGCCATATGACTAAGCTGGAATGGGAATGGAAGGAGAAAGTATAAGCATTTATTAAGTGCTCTTTATGTGCTGGGCACTGTTACAGATATGATCTCAGTTGAAGGATTCTTTGTCTAGGCCTGGTGACAGACCACATCTCATTCACCTAGAGACTGGCTGAGCTAACTACAGAGAGGATCTTCACTAGAAGGTTGTCCATCAAGTAATGAATTTTATTTCGTTAAAGCAGGGGATCTTCACTTTTTTTGTGTCCCAGACCCTTTCCACAGTCTGGTGAAATCTATGGACCCCTTATCAAAATCATGTTTTTAAACACACAAAATAAAATAGGCTTACAAAAGAGTCACAAAATGCAACTCCAATCTTATATCATGATGATTTGGATGAAGGATTTCCAACTCTTAATTTATGCTATCAATTTCTGATGACTTTAAAGTCAGTCATGAAATTTTCATAAAATTTGTCTCCCTTTTTTCAATATCTGTAGCCTCTGACCAGGGATGGAAAGAGCTTTTCCTACTAAGAGAGTCCTAGGTGTTAGATGACTATCAGTCTGTCAACTAGCAATTACAAGACACCTACTATGAACACAGCTTAGCACTGTGCTAAGCTGATTGGTTGGTGTCACTTTTTTTTTTAATCTCTGGATACCTTCAGGTTAAGAGAAAGATGGATCCCCAGCTGTTAGTTCCAAGGGAGGAACCGCCCCTGGCTCTAGTATGACCAGCCTCACCTAGGAACAGGGAACAAATTGAACAGGATGCCCTTTGGTTACTCTCCCTTCCTCCAAAAACCAAAGATCACAACATGAAGCAGTCCTCTTGCTACCATATGACCAAGAACCCTTCTCCTGAAGCACCAACAGGCTGATAGAAGGAAAACTCTGAAAAGGGTGTTCCAAAGTTTCCTTGAGCAAGGATTCCACAGCCTCCACGGTTAGGACAACTTAGAAAGCAAACTCTCCCTTCCACAGGTCTCCTGGGTTTCAAGTCAAGATTCACCTTCCCACACTGGCACAAAGAATTCAGTTCCTTTTGCAAAATCTCTTCCATCCTGATCTTATTTGACTTGAAATATTGCATGTGGGCTTATCTGGTTTCCTGGGCAGAGACCTCTCAATAAAGAATTCTCTCCCCCCACCCCAACAAATTTGAAATAACATTATTTTTTAAAATAAGAATCATATAATTTTTAGGGAAAGAGCAGATATTGAACTTCCCAAGAGACAAGAAGTTCAATATAGAGTGCCAATCCTACCAATAGATGGATCAGGAAGCAACCTACAAGGTGAAATTTGGAACCATTAAAATCCTTCTGCTCCCAAATCCCTCTCACACAGGAGAATTTTCCCTCGTTGCCCCCACTTGAGCTCTGTTTCTTTGGGTTGAGGCACTATGAATTTATTAAAATCCCAGTCCTCTTAGGAAGGGTAAGATGGGAAGCAACCACAAATCATTAACCTTTGAGTGGTGGTTACCATATCACAGCTGCAAAGCAAACCTTAAGAGGGGAAAGCAAAGGGCATAACCATAGAACATAGTGGTCTCAAGCTCTAGGCAGCTGGGAGACAACAGGAACACTCCGCACTCATGGGCAAGAACTGAGAGGAAGTCCAAGAGACTGAAATAAAAGGTGGGAAAGTGCCAAGAGTAACAGTGCATCTACTTCACATTTTGCTGAAGGTCAGGCCTCCTTCTAGTCTTACAGAATAACAGGCCCAGGAGGCAGGACCAAGCCACATGAAAGGCAGAGTCAGAGAGAGGAGGTAGGATACTTATCACATCTGTATACCCACCCATGCCTCAAATGGAAAAGGATACAGTCTGTTCGAATATAATAATGCTAATGGCATCCTTGATCCCTAACTCTCAGACCAAATGACAAGTTGGCTTATGTCTGTTTGGTAGGAGGAGGCCCAGACACCACCCCACCTAGACTGGATAGTTTGCCACTTAAAAGGCCTGGTAGGTGAGGATTTTCACACTAGGTTCCCCCCAAAGGCAAATAAAATTAGATATGACCATCAGTTCATCACATGGTGTTTTGAAAACAAATGTCTTGAATGTATTACCAACAGTAATCACTATTAAACCTTAGATATTTTGGTAGAATGCACTTTGTGGGGGGTTTGTTTGAGTGTTGGTTGGGAAGCACCCGCTATGTCAAAATAGAAAATATAAGAGAAAAGAAAATAAATGTCACGAGTTTATAATGATAAATGTCTCAGTATTTGTCTTCTAATGACAAATCACTACAATTAAAATGGTACTTGGTTAACTGTTACCTTTCTCAGTTGGATTCATGTAATAAACACTTTCTGATCAATTACTGATCACATTTAAGGTATTTTAAAGAATATAAAGATATATAAATTACAATAACTACCCCAAGAAACTTATAGTCTAACAGAAGAGATACAATATGCATATAAGTAGTTGACAAGTACCATAAGGGAGGCTGATAAAGGTCACAGGAGAGGGCTGATGGGATATGGCAAACTCAACATTTCTAAGTCTGAACTCATCACCATCCCCCTCACCTCCCACCACCTGCCCCTCCCCTTTCATGTTCCTATTTCTCTTGTTGGCACCACCATCTTCTTAGTCAGCCATCAATTAGGCTTGAGTCATCTTTGCCTCTTTCCTTTCCCTTAGCCCCCTGCCAGCGAAGCAGTTGCCAAGTCCTGTTGATTCTGTCTTGGCAATATTTCTTGCATCCATCACATTACCTCCTTTCCACTCACACTGCCAACACAGCTAGTGCAGGTTTTAATTACCTATCACCTGGTTCTACTGTAACAGTTTCCTAACTAATTCCTCTGCTTCCAGGCTTTTCTCTCTAATGGAAGAGGACGTCCAATAGACATCTTAAACTCAACGTGTCCAAAATGTAACCCATTCTCTCTCTCCCCAAGCCCTGCCCCTCTCCCTTCCTTCCCTATTACTATAGATGGAAACACCACCCTCCCAGTTCCTCAGGATTGCAACCTGAGGGGTCATCAGCTCCTTACTATCTCTCACCCCCCATATCCAATCTGTTGCTAAGCCCTGTCAGTTTTACCTTGAATACATTCCTTCTGTCCTCTGACACTGCCATCACTCTGGTGAAGTCCCTCATTACCTCGTGCCTAGACTATTGCAGTAGCCTGCTGGTGGGTCTGCCTGTCTCAAGTTTCTCCCCACTCCAATCCATCTTCCATTTGGCCACCAAAGTGATTTTCATGAAGCACAGGTCTGACCATGCCACTCTCCTACTCAATAAAATCCAACCCTTCCCTATTGCCTCTAGGATCAAATACAAAACACTCTGCTTGGCATTCAAAGCCCTTCATAACCTAGCCCCCTCCTACCTTTCTGGTCTTCTGAGACCTAAGGTAGAACAAAGGAAAATGCTAGCTTTGAAGGCCACAAGACTTCCAAAGCCAAGGTTAAGTCCACTCTGGGTTTGGGTTCTGTTCCTCAGCAAAAGGTGACCACTGATGGTTCTGGGGAAGGTGACCAAAAAGGTAATCCCATTTGTATACTACTCTGAATAGTTGTAGGTCCTGCAAACCCTGCACCTGAATGACTCTGATCATCCCAGCATGCCTGATCATTCCAGAGAAAATGTTGATGCTTAAGAAAACAACTATTCCCTTTCCAAACCTGCCACGAAGCAGGCACCCACGGCCTCTTAGCTGCATCTATAACTGCATCCATGCAGGAAGTATTGTCTTGCACCTGGGTCTCTTCCCCTGTCTCAAGTTTCTCCTTCTGTAGTTGGTAACGATAACGGGTAGTCATTTGGTAATATATAATTGGGGAGAAATGAAGATACAGATAAATACGTGTTCCGGGCCAAGTATCTTTTCCCACAAACCTCTACAGGTCCTGAAGTCTATGACGACTGTTCTAATATCATATGGTCGGTATCTACTGATCTTCATTTGGCAAACAGATCCTTCCAAAGCAGATCATTCGGTCCTTGTTTACTTGAGAAGCATGTCTCCAGCTTTACCTAAAGGCCATAAGTCTCTGCTGTGATTCTGAAGGAATCAGTCAGTTCCTATGTTTGGTCTTAATACACTTACAGAGGCTGAGGGATGAAGTGAATCACTGTAACATAGATCATATTTTCCCAGGAGGGATGAAGTGATCATTAGGAGATGTGTTCCTGGCCAACAACTCAACTTCAAATAAATATTTTTTGAAAAAAATCATAATCAAAAAAGCAAATACACAATAATATAATAAAAATAATGCTCTGAGTCCTACAAAGTAGGCAGAAAGGTACTGTACAAAGTGATTAGGCAAGAGGCCTAATATACTCTAAAACAAACAAAACAAATACTCTGCTTTAACATTAATTTCACCTAAAATTAATATGCTGTTATAATCAAATTGAAACATTTAACTTCCAACAGTAGTTTTGTTTGCCTTCTGAAAATTTATGAGGGCTTCTGGGGAATGATCTTGTTATTTTTCATTCAATAAATTTTCCTTTTGCAGAAGAACCGTTCAAAAGCATTCCATTAACCTAGGTGCTCAACAACGTTTCTTCTTGTTGCTAGTGGTGGCAGTGTTTCTCCCACTGAAGAGTATTTTTCAAGGTAAGGATACCCAGCATTTCTCCTCTTGACCCTGCTCCTACATCAGTTTATTGTGAAGTACAAGTACAGCTGCTCAACAGCAGAACGAAAGAAAGGCTGTCAGGAAACAGTTAAGGGCTGTTAAGTCTCTCTTGGTTGATAGCTCTCCCAGCACTTTACTTTTCATTGGGAAGCCAGAAACACAATTACCAGGTCATTAGCCTAGACTTTCTGAAAGGAGCTCAGTCTTACAATCACAAAGATTGCCTAAAGAGCTCCTGCTTCTATGTCCCAGGAATCAAGAGCAGAGGAAGAGCTTATAATTAGTTAGCAATGAACAAGGGAAAAGGGGTATTTAAATAAGGGAAGGCAAGAACTACCTAAAAAACCCCTCTTAAAGCCCCAAGTCACCCCCTTCCCTCTCTCATAATATATTTCAAATCTCTCCCAAGCACTCAGGAATCTACAGTAAATACACTGGAAATGAAGACCATCATTAAGGGCTGCTGAGAAAGCTTTGCTATCACAGCAAATGTTACTACTGCAGGCAGACAGCAGCTATTAGGCCCAGTGTGCTCAGAGTGCAGAGAAAAGGGGCCTTAGGCAGAGCAAGGACTATGACAATGCCCTGTGCGTACAACTAAGGCTTTGTCTTCAATCAATCAAAGAGCATTTATTAAGTACCTACTATATGCCAGGCACTGTGCTAGGCACCAGGGTTCACTGAAATCCACGTGACTTGATTTGCCACAAATTATGTGGAACAAAACATTAAATTCTCTGGGATTAAAAATATAAATTTATAAAATGTGCCCCTCATTGCCTTCCTCACTTTAGGTGAGTCCGTACTTACTCCTGGCTCTGAGTACAGGGTCTCTGGGCCACTGCAATAGGACTGACTACTCTTATTCCACCCTCCTTTTCCCCACAGTCATTTCTAAATCCCTGCTGGCCCCAACACTGTCTCCCTCTACTTGAACTTCAAAAGGTAGAACACTGGAGTAGGCATCCAAGTCTCTCTGTGGCCTCCTTCATGGAAGGGCATTTAGAAAAGTATTGTTAATCTTATTTCCAACACCTTGTCTTAGTAAAAACTATTCAAAAACCCAAGAAGGATCAGGTTGTCCCACCCCTAAAGATTCAAAGGAAGTCAGGATCCTGCCCTGGGCCCTAGTCCTTAGTGGCCATCAATCAGTTCCTACTCTCAGAGTCCTTGAAGGGGATTTAGATTTCTAGCCCAGGGCTCCTTCATCTTTCTCCCCTTACTAAACTTCTGTAATCCCTGGATTCCAGGTCCTTGTGTTCAGCCTGTCTTTATTCCTCTTGCTACTGCTATTGCCACTGGGTCCTTTTTCCTAGCATCTATGTCCCTTTTCTCATTCCTCCTCACAATTCAGATTATGAGGTGAATTTCTGAGAGTTTATTCAACAAGGTCCACAAAGTAGGCAACAAATGTTGGCTGAACTGTTTTTTGTCTGTGTCTGCAGCTAGGCACCAGCATCATCACCATTTTGGTCACTGTTGAACCAAAGGAGAAAAAGACAAACCAAAAAGCATCCTGAAAGGACAGAAGGATTTGAGTCCTACTCGGTACCTGGGACTCCAGGGAGGTCATCTTCCTCCTTGTCCTCATCCCAATTTTTTTAGCCACTGGGCCTTTTGCCTTCTCCATCTCCTTGGTCTTTTCTTGTTTCTCCAGTTCATCCATATACGCATCGTAAATCTCCCACTGAACAAGAGGGAAGGAAGAGAGAAATTACATTAGAGTGAAAGGTAATTTTTAAATAACCTCAGAATTGGGACTCCCTCATTAAGTGAACCAAGTGCCATGTAGTGACACTTAGCTGAAGCAAGGCACTGACCATTTTTAAACCCCTTGGTCCCATCAGTAGGTAGCAGGAAGTGGAATAGATTATCTCACAGTAGTAAAACATTTTTTAAAAACTCTCATTTTCTTTGGTAATTTGTATGTGATAATTAAAAAAAAATTCTTTCCTGCCAGGATGGAACAGAATGAGGGCTTCACTCCTACCCTGGCCTTCTTGGTCTGTGTTAGAAAGTTATGTTGCTAACTATACTTTTCAGCAAGGCCCCTGAGACTAAAGTCTGAAAGTGAGGTGGAGGAAAAAAAGGGATAAATTATAGAGGAGGTCAGTGTTATTTAGTAGACAAAACAATGGCTTTGGAGTCAGAAGATACAATTTCAAATTCCTGTTCTGTTGCTTTTCCCTCAATGTGACCTTGGTCAAATCACTTCTTTCTGAGCCTCAGTTTCCTCATCTGTAATAATAATAGTAACCAGCATTTAAAGAGTACTTCAAGGTTTTTAGCCTTGAAACAAGCCTGGGAAGTGCTATTATTACCCCCATTTTACAGATGAGGAAACTGAGGCAGACAGAGATGAAATGACTTGTAGATTTGAACTCAGGTCTTCCTGACTCCAGGCCCAGAGCTCTATCCACTGTGCCACCAACCCAGCTAACTACTTAGCATCTGTAGGATGAGGGGGTTGGACTAGACCATCTTTAGGCTCCCTTGTGACCCCAATAATCCCATGTGCCATCAGATGGAGCGTATATCACAGAACGGCAGGGCCATCCTTGTAAATGACAGTGAATGATGGTTACTGCAGTTCAAGAGCTGGTGAGCATCTGTGGGACCTGGAAGAAATGCGGGATATTTACTGCAGTGAATCCAGCACCTGGTCTTCCCCACATCAGTCACCTGCCACAAGAGTAACGCAGGCTGGGGACACTGCGTGATGCAGCAGCAGCAAACCGTGGGTTATCTTTATGGAGGTGACTGCTGTGTGCAATGCCAAACTCTTGACTTCTGCATTAATGTTGCCTTTGTGATTATTCCGACTTTTTTCCCCAAGGAGCCCAAGTAGGAAAAGGTGAGGAGAGGGAGAGAAAATAGGAGGGGAAATACTGTACTTTTACCGGCAACAGAAGGGTCAAGGTCACAACTTCACTCATTTGTTTATCTATTCATTTGTCGATTCATTCCTATGTTCATTCACGTATTTATCTATCCATTCATTCATTTACTTATACATTTGTTGATCGATCTATCTATCTATCTGTCTACTTAGAAGGCTGGATCTCTCTCTATCTTGCCTCGGGCTGAAGTGCAGGGGGCCTTCACAGGCCCAGTCTCACCCTAATCTCTTTAGCGCTCTAATCTGCTTTGTTTCCAACCTGGTCTGGTTTTCCCCTCCTCAGGGCTCCCCATTTCAATGCCGAATTTAGTGCTGAAGCCCAGAGGCATAGCCCACATCAGTTCAGAGCTCCCAAGTTCAAGCACCATGCTATAGTGATGAGTGCCACCATACCAGGTCAGGTCACATGCTCAAAACTTCAGGGATCAGCTAAAGAGATAAAAATTACTGACTCTGTATAGCACTTTAAGGCTTGCAGAGTACTTTACTATACATTATCTCCTTTGATCTTTATAACAATACAGTGAGGTAGGACTGCTGGAGCTATTGTGCCCATTTTCCCGATGAGGAAACTGAAGTTCAGAGAGGTCAAGTGACTTGCCCATGGCCACACAGCAAGTAAGTTTTGGAGGCAGGACTCAAATCAAAGTCTCCCCTCATACTAATTCCAGGCTTTATTATTATTATTATCATTATTATTATTGATTTTATCATTGGTGGAAAGGTGGGGAGGATAAGGCAAGTTCAAGGGGTACATAATTTTGGAGACTCTCTACTCCAAAGGATTAATAAACCATTACCAAACATATCTCCTTGTAATTCAGGGAACTCTCAGAGGGCAGGGCCCACAGCAGTACTTTCTTTGGCATATGTATTTCTTTTGTTTTTTTTTTTTTGTTTGTTTGTTTGTTGTTTTGTTTTTTTTTTGGTGAGGCAATTGGGGTTCAGTGACTTGCCCAGGGTCACACAGCTAGTAAGTGTTGGCATATATATTTTCATGTGTTGTTGTTTAGTCCAGTGTGACTCTTCGAGACCCCTTGGACCAAAGCACGCTAGGCCTTTCTATCCTCCACTATCTCTGGAAGTCTGTCCAAGCTCATGTTCATTGTTTCCATGACACTATCTACCCATCTCATTTTCTGCTGTCCCCTTTTCCTTTTGCCTTCAATTTTCATGTGTATTCATTAACAATTATCTTTAAAACGTCATCATTTTGGGGAATGAACTGTTTTGAACCAGTAGAATGACATCAGAGAAATCAGTCCTCTGAGCTAAACTCTCTCCACCATCACACATCTAATTCCAAATCCTCCTTTGATGCCTTTTTCTGAAATCCTATTCCCTGCATTATAGAAACATTTACTACCCGCCCAAGTGACTTGGAATCAAATCCAAGTGAAAGCCATCCTTAGTCCTGTGCTGAGCCCTTTATGAGTCCTCCTTATGAGGACATTAGGGGGTGCCTGGGTTCTGGTCTCTAGGACCTTCTAAGGCTATTTGCCACTCCCATCATCCTGACATAAACATTCCTCAAATGCCCAGTGAAATAAGTATGGAGACGTGGAAGTACAATAACTATGGTTTCATTTTGCAAAGGAAGAAAAAAAAAATACCATTCTGCAGAAACTGCTGTAAAGACAAACAGAGGCTCAAAGATGTCTTGCTTGCACTTTTCCTAAATGTATTCATCTAAAACCTAAGTTATGGTTTGATTTATTTAGCAATTTGGTTCTCAGAATCTTTCCATCATCTTATTACCAGAAAAACCTCCTTCAGCCTAGAAGAGATCCGCACATTACCCAGGACTTCAATTACAGCCTCTGATCTCTAGTTAAGACATAATCAAGAGCAATGCTTTTCAGTGTAATTTTTTCCAAGCCAACCTCAGGGCTTATGATGGTAATGTAATTGAATAAATTCATACACATAAATGAATTTTTACATTTCCTTAAATACTATGGCACCATGTGCAAACCGGAATCTAGAACAGCAAAATGAATCTGTAGAGTGATTTAAATATCAGGGCACCCAGAATATATATTAGTGCCACAGAAAAGGCAGAAGGGGACCCAGCCTGAGCATGCTGGGTTTGCACTAAATTTAAAAATACCGAGAGGGCTGCGGTTAACCCCCAGTTCACAAAGTGTGAAATAGGGACACAGGATGGTAAAATGATTTCTATATTAGGGCAGGGAATAGTGGGGAGCCATTTGACTCCCAGGCCATTTTCTATTAATTAGGCCATACTCCATCCTTTGGACTCTAAGTTGGCCAAAGGGGGTTTACCTGATTAGCTGTGGCAGAGAAGGTTGCTCTAGGGGGAGGTTCCATTTGACACTCTCGGTCCTAGAGAAAAAAATGATAGGAAATACATCTGAAGTCTTTAAAAACTTCTAACATTTAGAGAAAAAATAGAACACTGTCCAGGCATAGTTAGAATAGAGAATTAACATGTGAACTCACGGGAAATACAACTGGAAAGGATAGATGGAATAACCAGCATGGGTTTTTTCAGTTCAGATTTCTAAATTTTCTCCTACCTCTAAGACTGGAACAATTTGGACATTTCAAAAAAAGGTGTAATCTAGAAAACAGGTTGAGAGAAACACAACACGGCGTTCTTCAACAAGGAATATGCTCAAGGCTAAATGGTATAAATTCCCAGGAGGTCAAATGATGAGGTAGAGTCCTGAGGGACTTTCCCTAAGTCCAAATTCAAAAAGTGGAGCCTCCAACATGACA